TAGAACATCAAAGTAGAGAGAGAAAAGGCTGAACTTCTATCAACCTGTCAGGCAGCACTTAGCAAAGTGGGTATAAAAGGCCATAGAGAATGAAGCAGAACGGGGAAGAGAGCTAGAGTCAGCTTCAAATCACAGCTTTGCTATTCAGAAGCTATTTGGGCAAACTACCTGACCTTTCCGCCTGTTGCTCTATCAGTAAAAGAGAGACAGTAAAATAACTGCTGGGGAGGGCTATACAAAGCAACTTATGAAAAGCACCACGGCCAGCACATGGCTGCATAGACAAACTGAGCACTGTGTATAGCTGAGCACCTTCCTTATAAAACCCACAGCATTCCACCTCTGAGGAGAGGTGACTTAGTGTGTACAGCTCCCGTCCCCCTTCGGGACTGTAACCGCTCGGGGGCAGGACTTGAGAGGCATTACAACATAGCGATCAACCGCACAGATACAAACCTGAATTCAAACTCGGCTCCATCTCTTGTCATGTTACCTCAGGCAAATTACTGAACTTCTCTGAGCCCTGTCTATGTCCATAAAATGGAAATAACACATAGTCCATGGGATTGTTGAGGGGATCACACAACTGAGGCTTTTAGCACTGTGCCTTGTCGATATAGTAAGTGCTCAATCAACGAGGGTGATTATTTTTCCCATCTGTGTCCCTTATAACTGCTAACATCTAGCTAATAATACCTGTTGGTTTGAAGGTTTATGTAGCTGAGACACTGCCCCACCCACAGAAATTCATAAATAGCAAACAGTGTAAAAATGCCAAGGAGAAGGTCCCCTACCTCTGGAAAATCTCTTGCAGCGTTTCCCGGGTGAAAGCATTGCTGTCCTGGAAGACGTTATTGAGGGCATGCAGGGCACAAAGCTCCCTGCGCTGTTTCTCATGGTAGATTTGTGGGGGTGCTGCCTGAGGCAGCTCCAAAGATTCAGATTTGGCCTTGTCTCCTTTCCATGGCACGCAACTCATGTTTTCGTTTTAGGTTCCAGAGAGGGCTAAAAACACCCCACCCTTCCCTCCAGAGGAAGAATGTAAGCTTCTCAGTCTTTTCAGGATTCCTGAGGTCCACCTTATTTTCTGGTCTCCATGATTTATGCTTTGTCACGGGGAGAAAGGTTGGAATCAAAAGGAAAAAAAAAATCCACCTCCATCAACAGAAATATCACTTTTGGATTAGTGTATTTCGCCACTACTGTCAAAGTGCAGATTTTTTTAAAAAAATCATAGACGATCTAAGACCTTGTTTCCCTTCTCCCACCCTCCCCTCCAAAAAAAAAAAAAACCCAACAAAAAACAAAAAACCCACGATTTTCTTGCCGTATTTTCCTGTCTGCAAATGCCAACCAGACCTCAACGCAGGAGGACCGAACGGAATTGGTCACATCGCTCCTTTTCTTCCATTTCTTTCAAACCGCAACGCCACTGACTCAGGAGACAAGGCCTAGGTGGTGGGTAAAATGCAAAATTCGAGCCGCTAGCGAGGGCCGGCCACCGTGGGATCGCGGGCCGAGCCGGGGCCTCGGGGGCGGCTCTCCATCCCCTCTGGTGCGGTGGGGCCCCGCAGGGCACGGGCCGAGGCGGGGGCGGCTCCCTCGGAACGCGCGGACTTTCACCCTCTCGCCGCGGCCCTGCAGAGGAAACAACCCCGGTCAGCTCCCGCGGTCAAGCGGACCGCCGCGGAGAACCAGGCTGGCGGGGGAGGGGGGGCGGGGGGGGGGGGGCGGGCCCGGCCCCAGCCCGAGGGAAGGTCCTGCGCAGCGACTGGCAGGCCCGCGAGGGGTGGGGTCGAGCCCACCCGGCTCGCCTCACCGCCCACACCCCAACCTCCCCGCCCATCACGTGAGTGCAAGCCGACACGCCCTCCCGCCGCTGCCCCCACCCACGCCGCGGGTCAACCCCCTCACCGCTGCAGGCCACCACCTGGCGCTGCGGGCCGCCACCTGGGCCGCGCTCGGGCGGGCGGGCAAGCGCGCGCACCTGAGCCCGACGTCAGCCGCCCTCGCCGGGCGCGTGCTCCGGAAACGCCCTCTTGCGCCGTCCCCGCTCCCGCCCGCCGCGGCGTCACGTATGACGTCAGCCTGTCGTCAGGCGGCGCCGGCTTTAAGGCCCGGGCTGCCAGCCGTCGGTTGAGTGGGTGTGGGTGGCCTTGAGGTGAGGCGGCTGGGGGTTGTGGGCCGTGAGCCGTAGAGCGTGGCGGCGGCAGCCGGAGCTCATGCCCGACTCCTGGGTTCGGTTCTTTGCGGGCTGGGTAGGGCGGGGCGGCCGGCGGGAGTCTCGCCTCGACGCCCGCCGCTCCCCACCCCTCCCCGGGCATCGGCGCCGTTCCGGGGCGGCGACCCGGCCTGCAGCTGCACTTCGCCTTCTTCCCCTCCCTTTTCCCTCTGTGGGCGGGCTTCTCGAGCGGAGTGCTTTCGAGAACCTGGACTAGCTACTCCTTCGTTGACCGTTTTCTGTCTGTCTGGCGCGCTGTTCACCAGGTGACCTGATGCGGCCGGGAGTGAATTGTCTTGGTTAGTGGGCCCGGCCGCTTCGCACTTCCCTGGGAGCGCTGAGGGTAAGTGCCTCAGATTTCAGGCGGAATGGAGAGTCCCGTTTCAGGGCTGTCGAATTCTGTGCACTACACACTGACCACTGGCCTCTTGCGCTCGGGCTCCCACCTGGTCGCACGGTGGCTGACACAGAACTACTCCCTGGATATTTTCAAGGTGTTTCGAGTGTCAGGAAGGTAAACACCCAGTTCCGTGTAGACGTTTTTCCCTTTACCTCTAGGTCGTGTGGAAAGCATTATCTACCCTAGCTGCCCTTCTTTGGGATTTCTGTGCAGAGAATTGAAAAAACAGGTTACACAATTCAGGCATTTCTTTAACCTTGCTATACAACACGACTCTCCTAACACCAGGACACTCACCACAGTTACCACTTTAACACACGCCTGAGTGCTTACCGTATGGTTGGGAGTCCTGCCCTAATCCAGACAACTTTTGACTTACCTTAAATTTTTGTAATTTGTAAGCCACCTAAGGGTTGCAGGTATATTTTCATAACATTAGGCTTGCAAGCACTGTTCATTTATTTATAGCTAACTATGCAGCTGCTTTTTTTTTTTTTTTTAAGAGGCGACAACTGAATCTCAGAGTTAATTGTTTCAGGTCACACAGTTAGTAAGCAGTGGACCCGGAATTGGAACCTGAACTCTAGAACGTCTTCAGAAAGAGGATGTAAAAATGGGTAGGCAGTTCCCTTCCCAAAATGTACTTTTAAAATTCTCTGTTCAAGAAGCATCTACTCTTGAGAGTGTTTTTTTATGGGCAAGCCCTATAGTGAGAAGGACATGTTTTTTTTTTTAGTCTACCAATAGATGTCAGCACATTCTGAACTTAAGCTCTTTTTGGAAGAGCCAGTCGGTAAGATGGTAAATACCAATTACTACTCTAGAGTACTAAGGCTTGATATTTGGCTTTTCTGCCAAATCAAGATTTTAATGTTTTTAACTACCTCATAGAGGCATATATAGGATAATGGTGAGCAGATTAGGCAGAAAAAGAAAAAAAAAAGCATTTGAAGAGCTATTATCAAGACCTTTGGAGTTGAATGACTTGTCCCAGATTCCCAGCTGTGTTTGTGCACATAAAACTTGATTGTTAAAAAAAAAAAAATTTGTTGAAAACAGGAGCAAGCAGAGGTTGCCTTTTTTTTTTTTTTTTCAGGTGTATCCCTGAAACAATGTCATTTTGAACCCTGACTCTTACTAAATCCTGTGTTCCAAACCCTAAATCTTGGCTATGTTACCATCTCAATGGCTGCTCTTTCTTGATTGCTGCCTGAGAGGAGTGGCCAAGGCCAGCCTTATGCGAATGTTGGCTAATCCCTCATTTTATCAAGCTTTTCACTTTATTTTTTTAAGATTATTTATTTATTTGACACAGAGAGAGAGCACAAGTAGGCAGAGTGAGAAGGAGAAGCAGGCTCCTCACTAAGCAAGGAGCCTAGCGTGGGACTCAATCCCCAGGACCCTGGAGTCATGACCTGAGCCAAAGGCAGACGCTCAACCGACTGAGCCACCCAGGCGTCCCGCTTTTCAGACTTTTGAAACAGGGAAAGACACCTAAAACTTGTGCTGATGGTATTGCGGATTGGGACTTTCCACAACTGATGATACTCTGGAAAAATCATCCATGGGAAACTACCCTAACAGACCCTAGATCTCAGCTTCACAGTTCACAAATGTGGCGAGGTACTTTGGGCTTGTGTTTTAGCTGGTTGCCTCTTTTTGGCCCTGTAATTGCTCTCTCCGCAGAGGCAGTGAATGGAGAATTCTCCCTAAGGTCAGCGTTTAATTAATTGCCTCGCTTTGGCTGCTATAGTATTCCAAGCATCGATCCTTCTATTAAAATTGGAGGTTGCCAACACGTCCGACCTCGATCTTCCAGGGACTGCCCGGAGTCACTGAGAGGAGGGAGGTGCCTTGTGCAGTTTACTATCTCGGTGGGCGGTGGCCCGAGGCGCGGAACCCATCGGGTGACTAGATTGGGCCTTGCCCCTGTCCATCATCGGAAGGCTGTCCCGCGGCGACTGTTTTACAGTAAGATTTGGAAACTGAACACCGCCTATGGAAAAGAGGGAGGTGAGGGTAAACTTGTGCGTATTTCCCCATTCATTGGGTGGCTGCTGTGTCAGTCATACTCTGCCCAGTCTCGTTGGCTGGAAGGCTCCAGGCAGGTAGCCTGGACGCGGTGCTGCCCCCTCCTGAGCTGCGAACTAGGCGCGTGACGTCTCAGACATTTGTTGTTGGGGTTTGGACCTCATTAATTATTCATTAGGTACTTGAAAGGGCTGCAGTGATTGGTGGCTGAGAGGCCTGGTCGATTGTTTCTTAGCTAGAGATACGTGTCACCCTCTACTCGGCCGGAGAAGTTTCGCATAAATTATCCGATGAGGGGCGGGGCGGGGCCCACGCATACATTAGGCAAATACGCCGAGGAGGGAGGGGAGGCCGGCTACGAATTAGCCTAAGTTATTAAAGATGGCGGCGGAGCGGAGTCGCTCCCCCATGGACTCGCCGGTCCCGGCCTCTATGTTCGCCCCCGAGCCCAGCTCCCCGGGGGCGGCCAGGGCCGCGGCGGTTGCCGCCCGACTCCACGGCGGCTTCGACTCGGACTGCAGCGAAGACGGCGAGGCGCTCAACGGCGAGCCGGAGCTGGACCTCACCAGCAAGGTAGGCCCGGGCGCCGGCGGCGGCGCTGAGGGGACCGGGCGGGCGCTGAGGGGACCGGGCGGCGCGCCGAGCCGTCTCCGGGGCGACGGCGATGGCGCCGGTGGGGGCGGGAGGGGCCGCGCCGAGCCCGCCCACCTCCCGGTGCGGGAAGCGTCTGGGGCTCCCGGGCGAGGGGCGGCCCCCGAGGGCCGCGCACCGCCGTCCTCTCCCGGCGGCGCCTATCCGGCCTCCCGCCGTCCGGCTCCCGCCGAGATCACAACCCCTCGGCTCCGCCACGTGGAACGGGGGCGCCCGACGCTCGGAGCGCCCCGCGCGGTCGCCGTCCCCGAGCAGTGCCGACTCCCCCGAGACCGAGGGGGTGGTCCTCTCCCTGCACCGGCCACGCCGAGAGTCGGAGGTGGCTGAGGCAGGGAGAGCGGAGGCGCGGGAGGATCAGGCAACCCCGCGGGGAGCACGAAGGCCGCCGGGGCTCTTCCTGGCCTCGGAATAGGAGACGGAAAGTAGTTGCTCAGTCGCGGAGAGGGTTGTCTGAGGAATTCCTTCCCAAACCAAAACTGAAAGATGGGCAGGACCCATACTCTCGCCATACTGGGAGTGGAACCTCATCTTGTATGAATGGAATAATGAAGGACCTTTTAAATCGGGGCTTCTGAGCTTGTGAGAAGGTAGGCAGGAATTAAGGGCTCAGCTTCTGCTTGGCATTGTGAGGATGAAAAAGTAAGTATAAGATGTGACTGGTGTTTTGAAGGTGCTTAAACATCGCTAAAGGAAAGAACGCCAACTTGGGAGTCAGACTGGGCTGGGTTCCCTTTCCTGCCCTGCCACTTAAAAAGGCTCTGTGACCTTGGGAAAGTTTCTTAACCTCTCGGTTTTCCAGCTCCATTTTTTTTTAAGTACAGATGTGTTGTAAAAATTGAGAAATGTATATGACATTTAAAAAAACCAAAACAAAAAACAACAGGCCCAAGATGGGGTCATTTGCCCTCTGGACTACAGACCAGTACTTAGTTGCAGCATCACCCTCTCCCAGGAGTGAAATTTCCTGGTCAGCACTAGTGAGGTAATCTGCCGGATAAAACCCCCTGCCTTTCCTAGAGGGAATATAACCGTGCCTGAAATGACCCCTTCTTTTCTTTCCCTAATAACCTTGTCTCACCCCCTTTCTGCCTATAAAATCTTTGGTTTTGGTACAGCTACTTGGAACTCTTTTCTCCTTGCTCAGTAGGGTGCTGCCTGATTCATGAATTTAGAACAAAGCCAATTAGATCTCGAAATGTACTGGATTGAATTTTGTTTTCTGATGGACACCTAGTGCAGTGCCTGATACATACTACTGAGTAAATGTTTAAAGTGAACCAAATAACTGGTAATTCCCTGTGCAATTTAAATAGGAGCCGAGGAAGGGAGAACACCAACGCCGCCTCCTACCTGTTGTTGGAGAGTTACAATAAAAAGACGTTTATAGAGCACTGAAAACATTTGCGAGTGTTCAAAGTCTGTTGTGGCAAAACTGCATGAAACTTGACCCAAACTGGAGAGAACTTCCCTTGCAACCTAGGCAGCCAAATTTCAACTCTTCTCTCTCCCTCTAGTCTCAGTTGCCTACTAAGAAACCAGCTATCTGCCTTATTACAATTTTCCTGTCTGATGTCTCTACTGCCACAATGAGAATGGGCAAGCTCAGAGAGGGGGATGATCAGAGGAAGTGTGTGAGGTGATGTGACATGATGCAAAAGACCCAGACAGCACCCAGGTTACAAGTACAGGCCCTAATGAGTCAGCTCAGGAAACTGTAAGAAATGCACTTGATTCAAAAGCGGATGAGTTGGATGTCAATTCATGGTCAAGGTGCTGAAGAATTCTGAAAACACAGTGGGAAATTGCAAGGCAGAGTTGCAAAGAGAGTAGTACCTTCATCTCCGGACCAACTTATTTCGCGTTCTGGGATAGGGAAGTGTTACTTCATCACAGGGCTGGGGGAGTCCTCCTCACTGTTTTAAAGTTGAGAAGCTATATGCATATAAATTTTGATGATATTGAAAAGAAAAACTGAGAATGTGGAGGGGGAGAAGTGATGTGTTGAATAGATTGATTCCTGAGGAAAAGACTAGAAGCTATAAGTTTATACACTTGCTACAATTAGCTGTGGAGACCGAAAGTTCTGAGAGCTTTCAAAGGGAAAAACAATTAGAGGACTGTAGCGGCTAGTTTCATCCAGGAAGGTTTTTCTAGGAAAGATTGGGCGAAGGAAACTAATTACCACTTATTGAGGTGTGGACTAGATGCTTTGCATGTTAATCTTACTTGGTCTGTATAGTGTGTTTAGGATGTAGGTAGTATAATCTCTATTTGTAGATTGAAAAACTGAGACTCAGAGAGGTTAAGTTCTTTGTCCAAGGTCACACACAAGTAGTCAGAAGATGGAATTGGCCTCCCCAAATAAGTAGTTCATATTTTAATGTTATTGGCAGAAATTTGCAAAATGATGGTACTAATACCCATCTTAGTGGTAATGGTGTTTTGTTGATGAAGATGAGTCTTGCAGCAGTTTTAACTGTTGATTCCTAAATAATCAAGTTAGCCAAGGCAAGATGGAACAGAATTCTTTCGTTACTGTAAGAACCATTGGCCTTGAGGGGAGAGCATGGCAGTGTATGAGATCTCTGTCCTGTGAACTGCAAGCTGCAGGTGGAAGACTTTGACATGTAGGTAATAAAGCACTGCTCATCAGTTTCTGCCCACAGTCCAGATTCTCAGTCATTGTGGGTCCTGCCCCTCCTGTTAAGCAGCAGGAAGCCGGCTCCTCTCACCCTCTTTTCTGCGGGTTGTGGTTCAGACATACTCATTTTAGTATATCATGTAACTTAACTCAGAGAGTGCTTAGTCTCAAAGTCTATTTCAAGAGAGACAGAGAGGGCATGAGGGAGCTGCGTAGCTATTAGATCAGGGTGCTGTGGGGGTTCAGTCAGGGTCTTTGGTCAGGCTATTGATCTGCTTTGGCTGTGGTGCTCTTCTAGTAAGTGTGGTCTTAAGGCTGTTGGTTTCTCTTCTAGCTGGTTCTAGTGAGCCCTACATCAGAGCAGTATGACAGCCTACTTCGGCAGATGTGGGAGAGGATGGACGAGGGATGCGGAGAGACCATATATGTCATTGGGCAGGGATCAGGTGAGCATAGTTTTCCTTTCGCTTTATTTTTAAAAAATTATTTAGAGCACATTTTCCCTCTTTTATTGACTTCCTGTTCGTGTGTCTCAGTTGCAGTGATTCTTTAGTATCTGCAGAACTGTTTGGGAGGACATTAAAGTACAAAATTATAATGCTAATTCCCACGTTAGTGGTCATAATATGCTTGACTTCAAAGATTCACTTTCCAGGCGGTTTTACAGATGCTTCTTTTCTACCTCCAGTATTCTCAATTTGCATAAAGGGAAAGCACAAAGCAAGGAAACTTCTTATCTCAGGTAATAGAGCAAATCACAGTTAGGTCTACAAAGAAGCCTTCCTTGGGAAGCTCTAGGTCTTCCCTCTGCAGGCCCGGTTTACAGATCCCATTGCTACTTATTGCCTGCTTCACAAGAGAACCTTTGTTATTCTTCTTGATGTCCGCAAGAAAGGCACATCCAGAATTCCTCTCTTCAGCAAGGCTACCTTGCCTCAGACCCCAGTGACCATTCAGTGTGGATAGTTGTGATAACAGAAGTCCTCTTTTCCTCTCTATGAGATCCTGTCAGACATGCAGCCTTGTTACATGTTCTGGAAGGGGCCGATTAATGTCCTCCAGCCTACTTATTCCATTGTAATGAGGTCCACTGTTTTAGAGGAAGGCAGTCCTCATTGCAGATTGTATCTTGGGCTTTTGTTTTTTTGGGCTTGGGGTTTTTTTTTGGTTGGTCCTAGTTTATAACCTTGATACAAGCCCTACTTACCCTTACTTCATTACGACATTATCTTTGCTGAAATGGCAGCTGGGCTTGTTAACAAATGAATTTAGCTTGTACCAGAACTTGTCTCTGTCATCTTTGCAGGATGCAGGAAGCCTTGGTGGGCCTTGATGCATCAGTAAAGGAACAGTTCTTTGCTGAATGTAGGCTTTGTGAAGGCAGGTAATAATTCCTTTTAGTCTAAGATGGAGAAAAATCTCAAAATCATTCTTCAACTATTTGACAGGTATCTATTAAGTATCTTCCAAGGGCTTGATACTGTTGCAAAGTATTTTTGGATACTTATAATCTGGTCTCTGTCCCAGAAAGATGGCATATACATAGATAACTTCAGTAGAAAATAATATTTGGAAATGCTGCAAGATTGACACATGGAAGAAGGGTTTGATCTCCAAATACTGCTGTGCCTTCCTTTGAAATGTCTCTCCTATCTATCCCTTTCATTCCATCCTTGCTGCCACCTTCCTGTTTGGGTCTTATCACTTTAAAGAAAGCATGGTCAGAGAGATAGGCAAACTGAGAGGTTGCCTGTCAAGAAAGGGAGGAAATTGGTCAGCATTGTCAAGTGCTAGAGACAGCAAGGAGAGTCAGGTTCAGAAAAAGCCATTCTGTTTGGTGGCTAGGGCATTGTTGGTAGCCTTTTGAAAGCTTTTGTTCAGGTGTACATCTGGCCCGCTGGTAATAGGATGAACCACTCCAAGTCCACTTCATGTTTGTAGAATTGAAGAAACCACATCTAGATCAATTTTGACAAGTGTTGGGACTGTTCTTTGATGATTTAAATTCTTAAGGCCCCACCTATTCCCACTTATTCTTTAATGTGGACTCTTAGTGAATTTTATCATGCCTTGGCAACTCACAACTAATTAACCGTCCAACGGCAAAGCATAAGAAAATGTCAGATATTCATTATCACATCTCCTGTATACCTAAGCATTATCTTTGCATCTACCAATTGGATGCTATTACATTCACAGTGACTCCTTCCTGCTGGAATTCTTTAGAGGGAGAAAGAGATCATAACTAGTTAAACAAGTTGAACATCAGAGGACTAAACCAGGTGCAAGGCCCCCAGGGGTCAGCTTCATTACTGACTTCCTGTGCTTGGTGCTTCACCTCTGTTTGTCTCTTCCTTCATCTGTAAAATGGGGATAATGACATACCCACCCTACCTCAGAGAGATTTTGTATGGATAAGTTAGGTGTTAAAAAATTCTAAGCAGAGTAATGTGCTCTTTAAGTATACATTCCTAATTTTAAAAAGAGGCAGTCTGGCCTGATAGTTCAGGGTCTGGAGCCTGGTAGGTCTGCATTTGCCTATTGGCTCTTTCCCTTGTCTTAAAATGGGGTTAATAATAGAATCTATCCCATGGTGTCATGGTGAAGATTAATACTTGACATACAGTAAGCATTATATAAATGTTACTTAATAATTGCAGTAATAATTTTTTTTAAGATTTTTTTTTTTTTTTGACAGACAGCAAGAGAGGGAACACAGGCAGGGGGAGTGGGAGAGGGAGAAGCAGTCTTCCCGCTAAGTAGGAGCCCGATGCAGGGCTTGATCCCAGGACCCTGGGATCATGACCTGAGCCAAAGGCAGACGCTTAACGACTGAGCCACCCAGGCACCCTGCGGTACTAATTTTTTAAGGATTCTGGGTTATAGTTGATTTACCATGAGAGTTTTTTCAAGAACCACTTTGTTCATTTTTCATTTTAAGACATGGCTTACAAGAGCCAGCTACTGTATTAAAAGTTCAGGGAACATAGGAGGAGTGTTAGGTCTTTGTGGGGGAGTCAGGAAGGGCTTCAAAAGAGGAGGTGCCCCTTGAATTGATACTAAAGGGTGAATAGGAGTTTTCCAGGTAAATAGAGGCAGTAGTGAGTGAGCAGAGAAAGCCACATGCACAAAGGCACAGAGACATTGGTGATTGTGGAATATTTGGTGGACCAAAGGTGATTCTGTTAAAAATTTATCTTAGAGTGTGTGCTTGCATGGGAGTGGGTTGGGGCAGAGGCAGAGGGAGAGGGAGAAAGAGAATCTCAAGCAGACTCCCTGTGCTGAGTGCAGAGCCCAGTGCAGGGTTCGATCTCATGACCCTGAGATCATGACCTGAGCCGAAATCAAGAGTTGGACACTTAACCGACTGAGCCACCCAAGTGCCCCCAAAAGTGATTCTGTAAAGTGGGAGTATAGAATGTGAGGTTTGGAGTGTCAGGAGAGTAGGCTGGACAGGTCGCAGGGCCCAGATCTTGATGGTTTCTGAATACATATTAAAGAGTTAAGACTTTTATCCTAAAAGCATGTTGAGCAGGAGAGTACGTACAGAAAAGGTAAGTCAGATGGCAGGACAGAAATCTGATTAGGTTTGGACATGGCTGAATATGTGACCTTGGGTAATTGGACCTCTGCAGCTTTTCTCCTTGACCTTTGTCTCCACTCATACAGAGTGAGGAATGCAGTGCATGCTGGAGAAGGGTAATGTGACTGGGAGCATTTTCTGGGAGCTCTAGATAGACAAGGTAACACTCATGATTGCCCCCTGGCAAGGAACAGGACCTGAAAGCATTTTGTTGTACCAAAAACAGGGAAGTTGGATAGAATTTGGGGATCTGGCAAGAATGGCAAGATTAGTAGACTTCCTCTTAGGAACACTTTTTTTTTTTTTTTTAAGATTTTATTTATTTATTTGACAGAGAGAGACACAGCAAGAGCAGGAACACAAGCAGGGGGAGTGGGAGAGGGAGAAGCAGGCTTCCCGCGGAGCAAGGAGCCCAGTGTGGGGCTCGATCCCAGGATCCTGGGACCATGTCCTGGGCCGAAGGCAGATGCTTAATAACTGATCCACCCAGGCGCCCCTTAGGAACACTTTCAACAAGCCCTTCTCTAATCTAGAAGATTTCCAGAGCTCAGTTGGCCATGTATTCCTCAGCCCAACTGCTCCCACTTTGTTCATTTGTTTTGCATTTTGCAAACATTAGAGGACTTGATGGAGGACAAGCACCCTCATGGGGCATCCAGGGGATGTTTGAGATATACCCTATCCTCAAGATGCCTATGTATAGTGGGGGAGTACATGCATCTAAAACACTGTTCCACAAGGGGTAGTCTGTGGTGCACTGATGGGCTTTCTAGGATAGGAAATACCTAAGCAAAGGTATAGAGCTGAAGAAGTGCAGGGAACATGGGGGCTGGCGACTGGGCCACTTGCATTGGGACAAAACTGAGGAGGGGCTGTGGGATAAATGGGGGAGGGCTTTAAGGAATTGGAACTGGCTGCTGCTGGGCTGGGGGAGCCATTCCAAGGCTTTGAGTTAGAAGTGAAAACGTCAGAGCTGTGCCTGGATTAGGAGCTTAAGCTTGTGTGTATGTAGGATGGACTGCAGGGAATAGAGCCCGGGTATGCTAAGACCAGCTAGGGGTGTTGCAGTGATTGAGGTAGAACAGGGCCTGAATCAGGCTGGTGGCGCTGGATTGGCAACAAGAGAGCAGGGACAAGGACAGAAGGGCAAGGTCTAAAGCTAGAATCAGCAGGACTGGAGGGATGAGTGTTGAGCTTGGGTGACTGGGAGGGTGGTGGTGTCATTAGAAGTAAGGAAGGCAAGGGAGGAACTAGTTGGGCACAAAGAGGAACCCTTGCCAGAGGAAAAGGCTCTAGGTTTGGAATCAGAAGACTCAAGCTCACACAGCCCCTTGGCTCTTTACCAACTCTGAGACCTCTCTGGGTTCTCTTTATCCCACTGCTAAATGGGAACAGTAATGCTTACTCCTTAGGATTGCAGGGAGGTCTAAAATGCTTTGTTAGTGGTGTTAGTTTTTGTGTTGTTGTTTAAAAGGCGGGTGGAGTGGTTGAGTGTAGATGCTTCTAAGAGTTATCAAACGGGCAATTGGAAATTCAGTCTGGAGCTCTGCAAAGAGGACAGTGCTAGAAATGAATGTTTCTGTAATTTACAAAACTACAGTTTGAACCATAGAATGAGATGGCCAAGGGAAATGTTTAGAGGCTAGAGAAAAGGGCCACTGACTGATTACTGGAAAAGACTGGCATATAGGGGACAGGAGCAGGAAGAGCCAGCAGAGGGAACAGAGAAGAAGGAACCAGAGGGTAGAGAGATGAATCAGGAGAGTTCAGGCAATAGGCAAGCAGAGTGGGAGGGGGAGGTACTTCAAGAAGCAAAGGTAGGATAGCCAGCAGTGTCATATGCTGTAGGGGGCAAGAAAAGGGCATTAGATGAGTGGTTGAAGTCCATTAATGCCTTGAAAACTAGTTTCTTCTGCAGTCATCAGAAATGTAGTCAGCAGGTACAATCACTTTTTTGAGATGCTTGGTGGTGAAAGGAGGAACAGGGGAGATGGTAGCTTAGTAAGTAAGCAGGGGCAAAGGAAGACGGGGTGGGTTTCCTTTTTGTGGTTTAAGAATGAGCTCCTTTGTAAGGGGAAGCATGGAAGGAGGGAAGAGAAGGTGAGAAAAGGTACTGCAAGGTCTTTGGGAGGCAGTAAAAGAGAAGAAAAGTTGGGCGCATACTGGGGGATCAGCCTAGGGAGGGAGCGGAGCTGTTCTGTGAGACCCAGAGGCTGGAGGGAAAGCTGAGGGAGCTGTTGTGGGCATTGAATGACACCATGTGGAAGGCACCTTGCAGGGATTGCCTTACATTAAGCACTCAAGTGATTGGTTGACTGGTCCGTTGTCTTTCCTTTGGACACCCTTCCTCATCCTGAGTTCAGACTCATTTTTTTTCAGCTACTTGCTGGATATTTCACCTGAGCCACCTCAGTTGAAAAATCTATCCCTGAAATCATTCTGGAATTCTCTCCCCATTTTCCTTTGACTCCCGTCCTCATTATCTCTTGCCTGGATTATTAGAATTGTTTCCTAACTGGGCTCCCCCTTTCTGGTCTCTCGCTTGCCAGTGCACACTTTATATTGCTGCTCAAGACATCTTTCTAACCTGCAGCGATCTGATCATGTTACTCCCCTGCCTAAACCCCCAAGGCTTCCCACCGCCTGGTACATAATTGTGTTTTGCTGCTCTCTGACGTCTCTGCTTAACAGCTCCCACCTCTTGTGTGGTCTCTCACCACTTGACATCCTGCTCCCCAGCATACCGAGCTGCTTACTGGTCCCTGAATTGCCATGATCTGCCATGCTCCATGCTTTGTTCCTCCGCCTAGGATGTTTTTACTCCTTTCTCTGTAGGTCCATTTTCCATACTTGGAGACCCAGCTTGGAGTCAACACCCTGCAAAGCTGTCCTCAGCTTCCCCAGGCAATGCCAGTTGCTCACGCTTAACATTCTTTTTGTACAGTAATATAGTAAAGCACTCAAGCTGTATTACAATTAATTAATTTTCTGTCTCTCCCGCTGGGCTGTGACCTCACCAAGGACACCTGTATTCCCAGTACCCAGCATGAGGCTTGGCATAAAAGCTCGGAGAGTCTTAGTGATTACTGTTGAATGAATTAATGAATACCCTGCTTAAAGGGGAAGCCCGTGGCACTATTATTTATTAACTCCGTGTGTGCTCAAGTTTTTGAAAAGTGTCAGGTGGAGAGAGTGGTGTTCTTCTCCAGTGCCTAGGGTGGGGCCTTCGGTAGGGGTGGTTGACCGGCTGGCTTGTTGGCTGGCTGATGTCTGGGCTCTTGTCACCAGATGGGACTGAGTATGGGCTGAGTGAAGCTGACATGGAGGCCTCCTACGCTACAGTGAAGAGCATGGCGGAACAGATAGAGGCTGATGTCATCCTCCTGCGGGAACGTCAAGAAGCTGGGGGCCGTGTGCGTGATTACCTGGTCCGGAAACGAGTAGGAGACAATGACTTCCTGGAGGTCAGGTGAGGAGGCCTCAGAACAGTTCAAGGGTTCTCTGCAGCATGACCTTGTGGTCTAGGGCTTCACAGAGAATGGTGATTGAGCCTTTGGCACCTGGCATGTCAACTTCACTCCTTCCCTTTCTGAGGCATGGGAAGAGTGTCCAGAGATATGATAGCTTCATTTTCTATTTCTGTACTTCCCTATCCCTAAATATTTCCATTTGGTAAGAGGGGGAGGCTAGCCATACATTTGTGGCCATTGTGTGGGCCGTGTTTTCTTACCTGTCAGCCTGTGAGGCTAAAAACCAGGGTCTTAGAGGAGAGCATTTTGTGCCTCTCGGTTTTCGGGCTCCTATCTGGCAGCTTTGAGGAGGCTTATGGAAGTTAAGAGAGAAAGCCATCATGACAGGAGCCTAGCTCCTCCTGAATAATTCTTTCTATTCTTGGGTGTACCTCCAGGGTCATTTCCAATGTGCTCAGCCATGAATGGGAGGAGCGGTAAGCTAGAGAGGCTCAGGGGCAAGTCTGTCCTTACAGTTCGTTACTTGCACTTTGCTTCCCTGCTGTCTCTCACAAGGATGTTTGGGTTCATGTACACGCAGGGTAGCAGTAGTAGGCAACGTGGATGCTGGCAAAAGCACGCTCCTGGGGGTCCTGACACATGGGGAGCTGGACAATGGCCGAGGCTTTGCCCGTCAGAAGCTCTTCCGCCACAAACACGAGATTGAATCTGGTCGCACCAGCAGCGTGGGCAACGACATTCTGGGGTTTGACAGTGAAGGCAATGTGGTAAACAAGCCGGACAGCCATGGTGGCAGCCTGGAATGGACAAAGATTTGTGAGAAATCCACTAAGGTGATTACCTTCATTGACTTGGCTGGCCATGAAAAATACCTGAAGACCACTGTCTTTGGCATGACAGGTCATTTGCCTGACTTCTGCATGCTCATGGTAAGTGTGAGGCACTCCTGAGGAGGGGAGGCTTCAGCTGGGCTGTTTCGGGGGGGGGGGGTTGCTTATGTGCAAGTGTTAGAAATTGTTCTGCAACAGAGGCTTGTTGGTTTGGGGCTTTGAGGGTTTCAGAGGGTAAGGATGACACATTTTACAGGGATACCTAGTCCTCTGAGTGCTATCACCTTCTCGAGGGCTGTACCTTGATCTCTCTCCCTGGTACCATTTGTGGACCTCTTTTATTTTTCAGAGAGGCACAGAGGAGGGTTTCTCCTGGGGCTTACTTACTGCCTTCAGAAATGTTTCTCCTGGGGTTAGGCTACTCTGCAGAGGTGGCACCAGGTGGCACCCCCAGAGATGGGGAGGCCTGGGAAGAAATGGTGGAGAGCACAGACAGCAATCAAGAGGGGCCTGGGAGGTGGCCTCTCTCAAAGCCTGGGAGGAGTGTCAGCCAGTCCAAGGTACTTGTGGAGCGGCTGCTGTGTGCCTAGCACCATGCTGGACCTGAAGATACAGCAGTTGAGTCTAGTGAGAGGAGACTTTTCAGCAGCTAATCCTGTAGATCACCTGAGAACGGAAGGGAGCAGGGGCTTCTGTGTTGGTCATGTTGCAAAGCTTCCATTTGGGTCCCACTGATCTTCTCTGGACAGAGAATGGGAGTCTGTGGGATCCACAGCCTCGCACACAGCTTCACAGCTTTCACAGCACAAGTGAGCAAGTTTTCCTTTGGCAGGTTCTTCTCTAAGCCCTTCCCCATTTCCCAGTTCCTCCAGCTGTCTGTATTAATAAGTGTAGTAAACACAGGCATCTGTTGAGAGCATAATTGATTAAGTTGCCCCACAAACACAGGTTCTCAGGCAAATTCTCCCCAAACTGGAGAGTAAAGAGGCAGAGCATATGTGTGAACACTGTTGTCGGCTCTCTGCCCAAGGTTCTTGGGATCTCAGCATGATTTCATCTCCCATATCCTTGAGCATTTCAAGGGGCCATCACCAACTCAACTGGGCTAAGAAAAGCTGTTCTACAAGAAGGGATTTCAGAGGAGGAGCCATAGGGCATATCTGGGGGCAGTTGTTGGGTTTATATTAAGAAAGGTATAGAAACCAGTCTAAAATGAGCATTTTTTTCAGCTAAGCTATAGTGAACAAGGCCAATTAAAGGAAATACCTTCACCCTAGATGAAATGTTATATATTATCTGATTTTTAGGTTATAAATATTATTTTAATATTTTATTAAATACTCAAATTTTTCTGTAGAAAACACTGAAATCATTATTGCCCCATGACAATAAATTTCCAGGAGAAAAAAACTTTAAAATATATAGACAGCAGAGTGATAGAGCATTCTCTTATCCCAGTTGGGAAGAACAAAAGCAAGTCTGGGTTGGATAGGAAAGGTGGTTGGAAGAAATGGGAAGAATCAGAAGGCAGAAAGAGGAGGTTTCTTGGTGTGGGCAGAAGGGAATATGCAGGGGACGTCGGTATTGGGGGGATGGCAGCTCACCTGTGACCTGGGATCAAATGAGAACATCGTTTGAAAACCTTCTGGAATGTATTAAACACTATATAAATGTGTCGTGGCAACTTTAATTTTGTTTTTGTAAGTAATGCATTCATGTGGTACAAAAACAAAAAGATAACCAAAGGGCTTATAGTGAAAAGTTTTCTTCCTCCTCTGTCCAGTTTCCTCTCAGGGGCAACCAGTATTTCCAGTTTCTTAGTTATTCTCAGAGAGATTTTGTAATCATACCAGCAAATGGGGATATATTCTCTCCCTCCAGTTTCACAACAGTCAGAAAAGTTGAAAGAATAATACGATGGATCCCATAGACCCACCACTCAGATTCAACAATCATTAACGTTTGCTCTGTTCATCTTTATGTGTCATGGATGAGTATGTGTATTTTTGTTGTTGTTGTCTTGGCTGAATCATTTTTTTTTTTAAGATTTTATTTGTTTATTTGACAGAGAGAGACACAGCGAGAGAGGGAACACAAGCAGGGGGAGTGGGAGAGGGAGAAGCAGGCTTCCCGCTGAGCAGGGAGCCCGATGTGGGGCTCGATCCCAGGACCCTGGGATCATGACCCGAGCCGAAGGCAGACGCTTAACCATCTGAGCCACCCAGGCGCCCCTTGGCTGAATCATTTGAAAGTAGATTATAGGCATTGTGACTCTTGACACCCAAATCCTTCAGCACACAGCTCCTAAAAGTGAGAACTGTCTCCTGCTATTACAGCAGCCAGGAATATGAACAAGAGTTCCCTAATATCTCGGCTGTAAGTGTTTATCTGATCTCAGATGTTCCCCCGATGTCTTCCAGCTCTTACAGCTGCTTTTTTCAAACAGTGACCCATTCTACATGCTGTATACACCATGTAGCATGCTGTACACACCTTGCTTTTTTTCCTCTCTCAAAAACATATCTTAGGGATTATCCCATGTCAGTAGATAAGAGTTTCCTTTTTCTTGTCTATAGAACATTTGGTACATTTTGTATGGCACACTTGTACACGTGCCTTCATTTACCCAGCCTTTATGGTGATAATTTAAAACCTTTATTGTTACGGGAAGGAATAGTAACAGTAATAAGAGCTGCCATTCCTTGAACACCTAATTCATGCTAGTTGTGTATGGGATCTCTGACATACTTTATGACACAAACCTCAAGAGACCCTCTAAAGGGGATGTTACTATCTCTCCATTTTACAGACAGGGAAACTGGAGGCCAGTGATGTTAGACTGAATCTACCTTGACAACACTAGACAGTTGTTTCCCTGGACTGTCTGGGTTTGTCTTTTTTTATTGTTTCCAAGTCTCTTCAGATTTTGACAGCCCATATCATTAAATCAGAGGTTAAAGCCATCTGTGCCCAGCCCAGCTTTCATCTACAGCTCTTTTGTTTCTGGCCTAAGACTTCTGCCCCACGTGTCCTGTTCTGATGGGGGCCTCAGAGGAGAGCTCTCTCTTAACCCAGCCTTCTTTGAGCCCCTGTGCCCACCCAGCAGCAACTTCTGTCTCCCTTGTCCTGACCTTTCTTTCTGTGTTGGGGCAGGTGGGCAGCAATGCTGGCATCGTGGGGATGACTAAGGAACATCTGGGCTTGGCATTGGCACTCAATGTGCCTGTCTTTGTGGTGGTCACCAAGATTGACATGTGTCCTGCCAACATCCTGCAAGGTAAGTGAAGCCTGTGTCTAGTAGCAGGGGCTGTCACCCACTGTGGCTCCTTGGTGGTGCTGCCACGGCTTCAGCCCAGAATCTTCTGCTTTTTTGTCTTGTGCTAAGACCTTGGTCTGAATTTCCATCAAGCCTGAATCTTCTGCTTCCTTTATTTAGCTCTTGGTCTAAGCACACCCTAGAATTATCCCTTACTCTTTGTTCCTTCTCGTTCCAAATATAGGATCCTTGAGATTCCTAATCTGGTACCTCTTTTCAGATGGCCCCAGGGCCAGGGGGTTGGGTTTTACCATCTGAACAGGATACATATGGAGGCATTTGGGCAGAGGGTCTGATTGCCTTCTACCACCAAAGGTTTCAGAATAGCCTCGCATTTCTCCCTCATTGCTGTAGATGGTAGAAGAGAAGTGAAGAGGTGTTCTTTTGGAATGCCTCATAAGGGCTTCTGCAGAGGTGTAAATGTCATAGAGATCCTTTGTCAGATGAATTTTTATCCAGGAAGCAGAGCATTCTGAGAAGAACATTGCCTTTCCCATGGACCCGCAAGTCACTTACTTATAGGATGTGGGTCTTTTAGAGACTCTGGAGAAATTTAACAGGTTTCAGACTCGTAACTTTACCAGACAGGTCTTGTCTGTGTTCCTTCTACTCTAGCAAACACATACCCACCCCAAGTTTTGATCCTCCTTTTGCTTCTCCAGGCATGGCATTTAACACTGGTCCGTCTGTCTCCTGCTTCTCTCAGTAAGGAGTGGACCGGTCTTGCCCTGGAAGCCTGGCCAGAGAGAAAGCTGTGTCCCCCTAATTGTGTTCCATTTCAACCTTTAAGAAACCCTGAAGCTGTTACAGCGCTTGCTGAAGTCTCCAGGCTGCCGGAAGATCCCTGTGTTGGTACAGAGCAAGGATGATGTGATCGTTACAGCCTCCAACTTCAGCTCTGAGAGGTAATGGGGTAGGGAGCACTCACTGCTGGGCAGGCACAGAGATTGGATGGAATAGAAGGTTCTGGTCTCAGTACAAGCTCTCCCAGGCCGGCAGTGTTGCCTGGGAGCGATATCATGCAACCCAGATTCTGAGGTGCTGGCCTTGCTGAGGTTGGAATCCCAGTTGAGGCTTCAGTGTCTTTACTTGTGAAATGGGAATAATATTCCCTTCCCCACGGTGGCCTCGTAAGTGTTAGAAATGATGTATGTAAAGCACTTGGCACTGTGTCTGGCTGCTGTGTGATACAGACACAGCCCTTTTTATAACTGTTATTAGTAAGTTTTTCTTTCAGTTTTTGAAAGTTTCAGAAAGTTTTTAATCACAGATTAGCATTTGGCTTTTATTCATTAATGTATCCTTTGATTCCATAAATATTTGTTGGATGTTCTGTACCAGGCTTCTCACCTAGGCATTGAGGATTCAGAGTTGACTCAGGTATAATCCTTGTCCTCAAGGTGGTCACCTCCTTGGTCAGAGATACTCTCTTGATAATAGTGAACTTTGTTTTGTTTTGTTTTGTTTGTTTTTTTAAAGATTTTATTTATTTATTTGACAGAGGGAGACACAGCGAGAGAGGGAACACAAGCAGGGAGAGTGGAAGAGGGAGAAGCAGGCTTCCCGCGGAGCAGAGAGCCCGATGTGGGGCTCGATCCCAGGACCCTGGGATCATGACCTGAGCCGAAGGCAAACGCTTAAGGACTGAGCCACCCAGGCGCCCCAGTAGTGAACTTTGTTAAGTTTGCCCCTTTTCCCAGAGTCTTGGGGCTGCTTAGGAGCCATCTGCCTCCTGGCTTGGTCAGTATACAGCACCCAGAGCAGGCTGGCATTTTGGCCGGTGGCTGCGTCCCAATGCTGCCTTCAGTACCATCAAGCGGCCAGCAGAGGGGGTACATTTCAGCCGGCCCCTTTTCCATTCATTCCTTGTGCCTCTTCTGTGCAGGTGCTACTCTGGGAGCAATGGGGAATATATAATTCCTGATCTTGAAGAGTATGATTAACCTTGGATAGGAGACATAGAGGCTGTTGTGATGACAGACGGAAAATCAGGTGTAATCATGTGTAACAGAGATGCAAAAAGTGCTCCCTAGATCTGGGAGGAGTCAGGAGTACCCATGTGAGAAGGGTTTCCTGGAAAAATCTGCATTGGAAATGGGCCCTGAAGGAGGAGGGTAGGAGTCCAGGCAGCAGGATCAGAATGAAGAAATACATGGGGAGCAAAAAAGTAATAGCTTTTGGGAGAAGAGAAGGTTCTGTGGTCTGGCTGACAGACAGGAATTTGAGAGAAATAAACCTGCAGAGATGTTGGGAAGAGGGAATTCTGTCTGTCTTCTCTGCAGTGGAAAGGCAGGTAAGAATTTTAGGCAAGAATGTGTGTGCTTTAGGAAGAGACAGTCATACGAGCCCAAAATACGGCAGTGGTAGAGGGACAGAGACAAGGGGACAGATTTCAGAGATAAAACTGAATGAAAGATGAAGGCCTTGGAGCAGATGTGGCCAGCACTTGGAAAGCTGGGGCAGGGGGTAGGCAGTTGGAAGGCTGGAGCAGGCTGGTGAGGGGGCAGCGGGGCCCTTAGCAGCAGCACATGTTCCAGAAGCTCTCCTGTTCCTACTCTGTCACCTGAGAGCTGGCCACCTGAGCTCCTTTGTCTTTCTTCACCCTCCACTTAGGATGTGCCCGATATTCCAGATCTCCAACGTTACAGGTGAGAACCTAGACCTGCTGAAGATGTTCCTCAACCTCCTCTCCCCCCGCACCAGCTACCGGGAGGAAGAGCCTGCTGAGTTTCAGATTGACGACACCTACTCTGTCCCAGTGAGTGGCTTCTGGTGGACCGAACAGAATGGGAGGCTGGGTGGGCACTTCCTACAGGGGCATCGGGCAAGTATATGGTAGGGAGGACCTAAGTGGGATCGACTTACTGGACCCTGGCCTTCTTTGCAGGGTGTGGGGACAGTGGTGTCGGGGACAACACTGAGAGGCCTGATCAAGCTGAATGACACACTGCTGCTTGGCCCAGATCCCCTGGGTAACTTCCTGTCCATTGCTGTCAAATCAATCCACCGCAAGCGCATGCCTGTCAAGGAAGTGCGGGGGGGCCAGACAGCCTCCTTTGCACTGAAGAAGGTGAGTGCTGAGAATACAAAGAACTCCCCTTGGGTTCGTTACGCTAGGCTCTGGGCCATCTCCAGTCATCCCGGCTGCTGTGTAAGGCAGGGGTTACTGACCTCACTTTTATAGGTCAGAAAACTCAGGCTCAGAGAGCCCAAGTGACTTGCCCAGGAACACACAGTAAGTTCTAGAGCCAGGACTTGAGCCCAGGCCTGCCTGCCTGCTTCCTAAGCTCTTTGCCTCCTTCTAGTGCCTGAGGTGGGTGCCCCAAGCTCAGTGGTAAGGTCAGAAAGATACCTCCCTCCTGTACACATGGTCCCTCTATATAGGGTCTTTAGGGTCCATGCCAAATCCTCCTCCCAGTCAGCCTTCTGTCCCTCAGGGATTGGGATAAGTGCTAGCTCTAGGGTCACCTACCTCCCTGCCAACCAAATTATCCAGCAGAGTGGGACTTTCCTTATTCCCTCCAACAGTCCCATCGTGCTCGCCCTGTCCCTTCCACTTGAAAGCTTGCCTACCTCTGCCCTCTCACCACCATCCTTCAAGGCCTAGCTGAAATGCCAATTCCTGCCTAAAGGCTTTCCTGACCCCCAGTAGCAGTGTTTAGGCTTCCCACATAGCCCTCAAGTTGGCCCTGTATTGTTCACCCTAGAAGGCCTGTGGTCTAGTACAGTAAGAGGGCAAGGCTGAGTTGGGGTAGTCTCCATTCCCAGAAAGGACTACTGGTTCTCTGGGATTGGGGGAAAGAACCCCTGGACATTATTGCCTCTGAGGTCTGGGATTCCCTCTTTCTTTCAGATCAAGCGCTCGTCCATCCGCAAGGGCATGGTGATGGTTTCCCCACGCTTGAATCCCCAAGCATCCTGGGAGTTTGAGGCCGAGATCCTTGTCCTCCACCACCCCACCACGATTAGCCCACGCTACCAGGCCATGGGTAGGTGTCCAAGGGCACTGCCAGCCTAGGAGGCCATCTGCTGTAGCTACCCCAACAAAGTGCTCCAGTTACCCAAACCCCAAGGTTTCAGCTGCAGCCAAGAGCCAGGTCTCCATGCTATGTGGTGATGCCCCCTCTATTCTGCCCATAAGCTGCAGTGTTATTCAGTTCTGCGAACATTAACCGAGTGCCGGCTCTGTGCTGGGCTCTGGAGACCCAGACTTGCCCTCAAGAACCTCATACTCATTCCTTCAGCAAATGTCTTCTGAATGCTGCTGTGTGCCACGTGGTGCTGCCAAGGTGCTGGGGACACAATGCTGGGCAGGGGCTCTGCCGTCAAGAAGCCAACAGTCTAGGGGCGCCTGGGTGGCTCAGTCGTTAAGCATCTGCCTTCGGCTCAGGTCATGATCTCAGGGTCCTGGGATCGAGCCCCACATCGGGCTCCCTGCTTGGCGGGAGACCTGCTTCTCCCTCTCCCACTCCCCCTGCTTGTGTTCCCTCTCCCGCTGTCTCTCTCTCTCTGTCAAATAAATAAATAAATAAAATCTTTAGAAAAGAAAAAAAAGCCAACAGTCTAGAGAAGGCACACATGCAAACAGAGTGCCCTGTATTTAGGAACCAGGACCGTGGATGCAGGGACAGGTGGGGTCTGAGTGTGTGTGACAGGATCAGACCTGAGAGTGGACCTCCAGCTCACTTTACCACACATGGCCCCCTGAGGCCTTTAGATGACCATAGCTCCAGCATATTCCATGTTCTCACTCCTGCCTCTCCTGCCCGGAGGCCACTGGGCAGCTCAGTCTTGTGGTGACCTGCTCGCTCTCTTGGCAGTGCACTGTGGGAGCATCAGGCAGACGGCTACCATTCTGAGCATGGACAAGGACTGCCTGCGCACGGGGGACAAGGCCACTGTGCACTTCCGCTTCATCAAGACCCCTGAGTACCTGCACATAGACCAGCGGCTGGTGTTTCGAGAAGGCCGCACCAAGGCTGTGGGCACCATCACCAAGGTATGGCCAGGCAGCCTCCCTTTCCCAGCCCCAGGAAGCATGGGGGCCACTCCAGTTTCAGCCTGTGAGCACAACAGCAGAAGCCCTGCAGAGTCCCCCTGACTGCCAGGGACAGAGGCTCTAGTTCCCGCCCTGGGAGAGCTGGAACAGTGCTGAAGTGCAGCCCCGGTGCCATTATCTGTCTTCCCCCTGAGAGGTCTCCCTGGGTTTGGTGGTGACTGTGGAGGAGAGCAGGTGGGGTTGAGGCCTAGCTGTCCTACATAGGAAACAGTGGTAGGAGAGTGTCTGGATCTAGCCATGGTCGGCCTCTGAGATGCCAGGCGCAGGCTCCGGTGGCCTGGCTGGGGTGGCACCCTTACAGTAGTGGGTCAGGTTAGAGTGAATGTTGGACAGCTAGGGGTCCTAGGCTTGAGTTCCCTTGGGGCTTGAGCTGTCTGTGTGTCCTGGAGCCTACTTCATGCCCTCTGCAGACTTCACCCATGGCCTTGGGTAGGAGCACTTGATAGAGTGATTTGACTCTTGCTCCGAACAGCCTGTGTGAGATCTTGGGACCACCCTTAGGCTGGCCTTGCCTCCAGAACGGCCTTCCTCAGGCCCTTCCATGCAGACCTGATCAGGTCCTTGAAGGCCACTTGCCTTTGGGACTGGCTGAGAGTGGCAGAAGCCACCAGCACGTGCTGTAGTGCCCTTGGGGGTATGGCAGTCCTCCCGTCTGCTTTGAAATTGAACTTGGGCCACAAGGGAAGGCTCTAAATCAGTCTCTCCTGGGTGGTAGTTCTTCAGATCCCTGATAGCCACACACTCAGTGTTTCCAGATGCTGAACATTCACTTGGTCTCTTTGGGAGGCCTGAAGTTAAAACTTGCCCCAGACTGTTGTCGAGGCAGTAGGAGAGATGCAGGTGATGCTCTGATGAGTTTCAGCCAGCTTAGCAAGAGCAAGAGCCTCAAGTTCGATACAAGGTTCTGGGCAGCCTAGGAGCTAGGCCAGGTGGGGGATAGCCAAGATGCACGGGCTTTCTGCGGGAAGAGCAGCGGGGGCAGAGACTAGGATGGAGCCGGGCTGGGCTGAGGCAGGCCAGACATCAGCTAGGGGAGGGGCGGCCTTGAGACACTGAATGGGGATGACAGCGTCTCTCCAGCCCGCTGCCCCTGTCGTGGCGCCCTTGCCATCCACCTCACTCAGGACCAGCCAGGCCAGGGAGTCCCTGGGGGTGGGGGCACGGGGCCTGGGCAGCTGAGCCGACGTCCCTGCCTGCAGCTCCAGCCTCATCCCCAACTCCTTGGCTCCTGCAGCTCCTGCAGACCACCAACAACTCCCCGATGAATTCAAAGCCCCAGCAAATTAAAATGCAGTCAACAAAAAAGGGTCCCCTGACCAAACGAGAAGAAGGAGGCCCCTCTGGAGGGCCAGCAGTAGGGGCGCCCCCCACTGGAGATGAAGCTTGCTCTCTAGGGGCTGTGCAGCCAGCTTTGTCCAGCAGTCTCCAGCCACAGGTGAGTGTGCTGCTCAGGCTGGTCTGGTCCCCTGACCCCCTCAGGGTGGGAGTGGGAGGGTGACTGTTACTGTAGTTGGTGGAGGTGACAGGAGAGCTTTAGGCAGCCTGTGTCTAGTTCCCGTGTCTGTAGTTCATAGGAGGTGTCTCCCCCAACTCTTGGCACATAAGTGCTAAGTGTTGCGCTGTTTGTCTCTTAGGGCGGTATTTTCCAATCTTTGAGATATGGCCTGCTTAAAGCTGATTTAGTTGGTCCTGATTAGCATTTGGTATTAATGAAGCAATAGAAAAATGTCAGGGTTTCCGTCTCCCAAGTAAGAGCGCGTGCGGCCTGCGGGAGTGGGATATGTGTGGCAGTCCAGAAGGTTGTTGGAAAGGCGCTGCCTTAGTGGGTCCTCCTGGGTGGGCATTGGTGGCCTCGGACCCCGTATCAGTGTGGTTCTCACTCAGTATCTCCCTTTAGCTCTGTGCCCTGGTTCTGTCCTGGCACCCCCTCATGTTGCTCCTTCCAGGGTCTTCTCCATCTGACCCTTCTTGGGAGAAGGAAACTTCTGTCTGGACCTGTCCTTTCTGCCGCTCTCCCACACTGAACCTTTCTCTTTCTACCTATCCGCGGGGCAGGTGTTGGTTCCTGCTCTCCTTGTGCTTCTCGGAACGGCTCCATCTCACCCCATCTCACGTGTGCCCCACTTGCTAGGTTGGGTGCTGGCTCCATCTGACAGAGGGGGAGTGCCATGCTCCAAGTAGTAGATGACTGCTCAGGCTAGGCTGGGACCATCCTGCCTGCTTGCTTTTCTCTTACCCCTTTTCCCACCACCTTGCCCCTCTGCTGTCCTACCCTGCTCCCAGTGGGCCACTACTTCTCAAGCTCCTTCTTTCTCCCTTTCAGCCCAAGCCCAGCAGCGGGGGCCGGCGACGGGGGGGCCAGCGTCACAAAGTGAAGTCCCAGGGGGCCTGTGTGACTCCTGCCAGCGGCTGCTGAATCTCCCCGGCCCACCCCCACCACCCACGGGATCCTTGTACTCTGGCCACTGTTCTACCACGTGGGCCAGAGCAGCTCTGACCACCACCCACCCTCCCCCAGGCCACTGCGGAGCCTCATCATTCCCCACCCCCACCCCCATTTTCCAGGGGGGTTGTAATTTATAAGCTGAGGAAGGTGGCCAGACTTCTGGAGGACTGACCATCATCCACCTTCTTCCCTGCCTTCTTCCTTACTCACATTTTTTGTACATCTGGGCCCTTAGTTTTTATTCTTTTTATTATCTCTTTCTCTCTCTTTAGTGTGTGTGTGTGTGTGTGTGTGTGTGTGTGTGTATGTGTATGTGTGCGCGCGCGCACGCGTGTGTGTGTGTGTGTGGTGCAGAAGTGTAGCCCGTCAGGGCCCTGGCAGTCTTTCTCCTTTTTTCCTCTGTGGCTGGCCACCAGCCTCCAGGAGCTGGCTGCCTGCCCGTGTGTCCATCCGTCTGTGTGTCTGACAACCTTTAGGGGCTTTCAGGAGCTGAAGAGCACCCTCCTCCCCTGTGCTCACTCTCCTCCCTTGTGCTCACCCTCCTCCC